GACTGAAAGCCTCCGAACTCTAAGAGAATAAACTCCTGTTTGTTCAAGCCATCCCATTTGTGGTATATTTTCTGTTAGAGCAGCACAGAGGTAACCAAAACATTTCTAAACCTGAGAGCCTCCCTTATTCTGTTACTTTCCCTAACTGGTTTAGGATGGCATCCTCTAAAACGCTTTTCAGAGAGTGGGGACTGAGAAATTAGAAGGAGGGCTCTAGGAGTTGCTCCATTTTCCCCTTCTTTTTGTAGCTTACAGCTTCACGTGATTTTCTTTTTCAATCAAGATGCTCGTGAATCTCTATTTCTGGTTAGTTATACCAAATTAGTTTTTTTTTTTTTCTTCTTTTTCTCTCTTTTTCTAATTCATTCTCAAGATTGTCCCAAGTTCTAGGGGAAAAAAAACAAACTGATTAGTCCCATTTCTACTGGTGCCCCTCAGCCCTGCACTTGAGTACAATGAGGTCACTTTGTTGTAAGGATTAACTTTATATTACATTCTTGCAGAGTAGATGTATGTCCCTAAGGTACAACTACCCCCACCAACGAAATAAATATACCATTCTTTATGGTTCCTCCCCGTTACCCTCTCTGTTGATTTTCAGAGAGTTTATGAATAGTCATATATTTATACAACTGGCCGAAAGTATACTACTTATTTTTCTTATGGTCTCTAATAACCGATGCAAGGTTATTAAAGGGTATACAGACCCCTTTTAAGGTATAGTTTCTTATGTCATTACTTTATACAAGCAGGTCAAATTCCATCTCGGCAACAATCTCTTGCTCTTAACCTTTTTCTCTGATTATAAAAGTAATATATGTGGAAAATTTGGAGAATGTACAGCACAAAGAAGAGGAAGAAAAACACTTTAGGACCCACTACTTAGAAATAACTACTGTTAGGCAATTTATACACAGGTACAGTTCTTTATGTATATTTTTTAAAGAAGTTAGTGTAGTCATACTGTACATGTTGCTGTTGTTAGGTGCTGTTAAGTCGTTTCTGACTCATATAGTGATGTTACGTATAACAGAACAAAACTTTGCCCAGTCCTGTGCCAGAGACATCCTGATAACATGCCCAGAGTACATAGGATGAAGTCTTAACCATCTTTGCTTCTAAGGAGCATTCTGGTTGTACTTCCTGCAAGACAGATTTGTTCATTCTTCTGACGTTCCATGGTATACACACTATTCTTTGCCAACACCGTAATTTAAAGGCATCAGTTCTTCTTCACTTTTCCTTATTCTTTGTCCAGCTTTCACATGCATATGGAGCAGTCAAAAATACCACGGCTTGGGTCAGATTCACCTTAGTCCTCAAAATGGCATCTTTGCTTTTTAACACTTTAAAGTAGTCTTTTGCTCCAGATTTGTGCAATACAGTATGACATTTGATTTCTTGATAACTGCTTCCATGGGTGTTGATCCAAGTTAAAGGAAATTCTTGAGAGCTTCAACATTTTCTCCACTTATTGGTCCAATTGTGAGGATTTTTTTAAAGAAAACAAAAATATCATACATATGCTCCTGTAACTTGCTTTTTTCATGTAGCAATGCATTATATATCAGTATTTTTTTTTTCCTTATAACATTGCTTTTGAGGACTGAATCATATTCCATTCCATGGGTGTGCATTAATTTAAATCCCCCTCCCACTTAAGCTGTTTGCAAGAGTTTTGGATTTTAAATTTTTAAATCATAATCTTTAAAAGATGGCTCCTCATGCTCAGAAGTTGGCTTCCTTTTATCTCTCTCCAGTGCAATGAGAAATCATCAGGCTCCTTTGAATTTAAGACAGTGGGCTTTGCCTTGTATATCTTTAGTTTTACCTTTGTTTGTCATAGTGGACAACTCCACTGTAACTTTCAGTACCTAAACTGAGGACAATGCAATGCAACACAACTTACTGCTGTTGAGTCGGATCCAACTCATAGCGACCCTTCCTTAGGTTTCTGAGGCAGTATCACTACAGAAGCAGATTGCCCTTCCTTCCTTCCGAGGAGTGACTGGTGGGTTTGAACCACCAGCCTTCTGGTTAGCAGTCAAATGCCTTAGCCACTATGCTACCAGAGCATCTAAACTGAGGACATGTTAACATATTTAAAAACATGAGCATAGAGCAAACCATAAAGGCTTGGAAAATAAATGGAAAACTCTTGTCTTACTATCTGAAATATTGCCTCTCTCACACAGTATATTTTCCTCAAATAGATAGATGCTTATTTTTCTTTTAATATTGAATTTAATATGTCTAATTCAGTTACTCTTTGTAGCAGTGGAATGACTTCTCTGGGAAGGATCTTTAGACTTCCCAGCTATGAGTTCCATGTAACATTTGAATTGGTTCTTTTAGTTATTGATACTAACTGTTGGGTATTCTGCCATCAGTTCTCAGTATAGGCAGAAAAACACATCCTACCTTCCAAAGCATCAGACAGTCATTCAATTTACAGCCACAGATTTCTTCATACAGTAGGAATTTATTATGCAAATGATTGAAGGGGTGGGCCAACAATCCAAATTTTATTAGTGACTTAAACTGAAAAATAAAACCAAGAATTAGAATTTTCAGGATTCTGAATTATGTCTTCAGATATTAAAATGATGCACTTAAATGTCTAAAGCTATTATTTATGGTTGCACGTTTTTGTTGGCAATTAGCGTTATGGGTGAGGGGGACTATGATACATAACTTAAACCTCGATGCTCATTTTCGTAGTTCTCCTGCATTCTTGATTAAATAGTGTGGATTTTACGAGTAACAGCTTCCCTGCATAAAGAGTTCTGTGGCTTTTTCTGTACAAGTCTAATTTGGAAAAAAAAAAAAAAAAAAGAATTCTTCTCAAGGGTTTAGAAAGTAATTCATAAAGTGGGAGAAATAATAAATATTGTGCTTTAACTCATATACTAGTATATATAGAGAGATCCAGTACACCAGGGTATAATTTTAGTTAATTTCCACAAGAGACAGGTTGAAAGTTTACTGTTTTTTTGGGGAGTTTGTGAAATGGCTAAATCTTATATTTGCAAAAATGATTACATTATCTTAAATCAAAATGCTTCTCTATTAACAATTTCAGTAAGCACTGCATTTGAGGGAAAATCTTTTTAATATAAAGTTACCTGAAGTTTATTCCAACTTAAAATATACAAGTGAGGAAAATGTACTTACTCTGTGTCTTTTGGAGGTGTAATTATGTAAAACAATGTACTTTTGTAAATGGATTTCTGGCCACTTTATGCAGCCTTTTTTTTTTTTTTTCTTCCTCTTTTTCTTCCTTTTCTTTATTTTTTTCCTTACATAAAAAGTAAGCACTGTCAATCAAGGAATTTTAAGGTTTATTTCCTCTTTAGAAATGATTGATAGCCTTTTAGATTTACAAGTTGACAAGTTAAAGGGTTCTATTGGTATAATTATGTACTAAATTCACAGTCTTTCAATTTAAATGTCCTTTTAAAACCACAAGATTATCATACCTGTATTTTGAAAAGTGGGCCAGTCAGTTTGGGTTGGTATACAAATTGCTTCCATTAGCCTTGGGACCTATTTGAATTTAATACAGTTTTTTAAAGTTAGTAGTAGTATGAATCTTACTTTTAAAATTTAGGTTAATGGAAATGCATTTTAAGTAAAGCATGTGGCAAACTTGTTTTCTAATGTATAGATAAATGTCAAAATTACAAAGACTGTCTTTTTATTCAGTATGGAAGAAAATATGTGGTTGATTACTGGTTACACTAAAAAAAAAAAAGGAAAAATAAAACACCTACCCCCTACTCAGTGGGTATGAGAAATGAGGGCAGAAGGTGGACCTTCCAGTTCTCCTAGTCAGGTGAGACATTGTATATCCCAGGGAAGAAATTAAAAAATAGTAGCCCAGAGTCCACTTTCTATTGTGTTTAATATAAGGATACTTTGGAGAGGGTGCAGTCGTTATGGGCATAGCAAAACCCATTGTCTCCAAATATTGCAGATTTGCTCTTCATTTAGTCTTTTTGAGAAAACTTTTGGAGACTCAGCTGTTCTAAACTAGTACTCCACAAAGGTTGTCTTTTTCTTGAAATATTATTGATACTGGTGAATCAATCATTTTAGTTGGGAGAGTTTTGTATCAAGGATGTTTTCAAGGCCTAGCTCTTTGGGGACTATCTAGGGTAGAATAGACTTTCTACACTAGAAGACCCACTCCATCCCCTTGCATCCCTGCTCCTCTTCAGGGACAGATTACCCAACAAGCAAGGTACACACGAGTTTACTTGAACTATTCACTATAAATTAGTAAATAAATGCAAGTAAGCCCATTCTTACCTTGTTTATTGGGTAATACACTCCAAGACCTCACCATCCTTTTGCTGGTTTCATTGCCATAGAAGGCACTACAATATTGTATCAGATGAGTTCCACCAGAGATTTTGTAGTTAAATGAGTACTTTTAATTTTCCTGCTGTTTAAGATGTGTGGATACCCTGGACAAGCCTTAAGCCTGTTGACCCAAGCTTCTGATTACAGTGAATCTTAAGACATCAAATTCCAGTTTACTTTATAATAATGTTACCAAAAAAAAAAAAACCTCACTGCTGTTCAGTAGGATATGACTCATAGTGACCCCTCCTTGGGTTCCCAAGGTGGTATCACTATGGAAGTAGATTGTTCAACATTCCTTCCGAGGAGTGGCTGGTGGGTTTGAAACTCCAACCTCTGGTTAGCAGTCAAATGTCTTAGGCACTATGCCACCAGAGCTCAATTTTGCCAGAAGAGCTGAGTTGAAGACCTGCTACTGATGTTCTTTGGTGTGAGTCACTCCTCACCTTGGTAAATGACAGAAGTAGGAGGTGAAAATGTTCAGAGAAGCGATCATTCGTAGGGCAATTTGTGATCTTATTCAAATATATTAATTAAATATTAGATGTCCTCAGTTATTGACACCATCTGTGTTGGAAATCATGTTCTGCATTGTTTCTTAAGGATGTTCTGATTTTGTGACTTTCTCATTACAGCGCTCAATGAACCCACCATTGACTATGGTTTCCAGAGGTTACAGAAGGTCATTCCCCGGCACCCTGGTGACCCTGAGCGTTTGCCAAAGGTCAGGATACTTCCTATTTTGGTTATTGTCTCTGGAATCTTGGGCTTGGGTGATGACAGAAACTATTAACAATTTATAGATAAGCTACTCATATTTGCATGCTTCGTTTGGTACTATAAGGTAAGCAGTAATAAAAGGAGCAAACACTTATGTATTATGCAGTGTTGTATTTATTTTTATACATGTCATTCATTTCGTCCCTCAACAACTCCCTGAGGTTGGTACTACTAGTACCATGATTTGCCACCGGAGCTCCTCAAATAAGCAGAGAGAGGTCAAATAATTTGTCAAGAGTCACACAGCATGTAAATTGCTAGACTGAGATCCAAACCTATATATTCTGGCTCCAGAGTCTGAGTTATTAATTATTACATCATACAAATTCACAAGAAGACAGAAGAATATGAAATTTCTACCTACATGAGGATTCATCCTTATCCCTGGTGAGGGGAGAAAGCCAGAGCTCCAAAGATAACATATTGGTAGATCTTGCAACTAGGAAAATAAGACAGAAGCCACTTTCCTCCAGATATGATACACCTAGTTGGGAAATAAGGTATAAATATGTGCAAAATTAAACAAAAAATTAAAAGAGTGTGTGTATAAATATGTATTAGGCAGCAGGAAGCTTTAATTGCCAATGCAGAGAGAAGGAAATTAACGTTTATTGACTTCTATTCTTTATCTTATCAAGTTGGAAATATTGCCCTCTCTGTACCTGAGGAGCTTGGGCCCTGTGTAGAAGAGATTATCATACAGAACTAATTGTAATATTAAATAATAGGCACATTTAACCAAAGTGCAACTAAAGCTGCAAAGATACAGAGGAGAGTGCAGTTAAATGCTAAAGAAGTTCAAAGTGCAAAGTTAGTTGAGGACACTGAGCAAGTTAAGAGAAAACTACCATTCACTGACAGCAAAGTGAAATTTCATTTACTGCATAGGGAAAACTATTATAAATTAAATGAGTATTTGAGAGGACCTTTTACTAACACACTAAGTCTAGAGATATGTCAAATCTAGGTATCTTTATCCTCATGAAATGCTTATAAAAATGGAGTTGGCATCCTTCCTACCCCAGTGAACCTCCTTGGAGGCTCAGTGCTTCATCAAATCCCACCTGTGAGCATCCTGCACTTGTGGGCAGAGCCACTTGTCAGATCAGACCCAGTCCTTGTCCCAAAAGAAGCTGGAGTGAGAGGTTGCTACTTGTCCAAGGAGAAGAATGACTGTGATGAGCAAAATCACCTGTCCTCTACCTTGACCTCAGGGAAGGACCACCCAGCCTTCAATCTCATTCTTCCACTTCTCAGACAGCCTCATTTCAACTGAGTGCAGCTTGCCGTGGTAAAAGGTTCTTGAAAGTATTTCACCTGAGGAAGAAATCATACCATATCTCAATTTGTTACGTCCTTAACTTTGAAAGGGCCTCTATCTTACAGGCTGTTCTTGTCCTTTCACCCTGACTTACTCTTGGTTAGCAATTAAATAATCTAATTATAATGAATGGCACTCTCCTTCCATAACATAGCCATGCTATGGATGGATTCATTGTTATCTCTGTCTAGTAAGAACCTGAGGAGCTCTCATGGTGCTGTAGTTGTTAAAGCAAACTGAAATTGGCTATTTGAGCCCTCCAGGTACTCTGCAGGTGAAAAATGTGACAGTCTGCCTCCATAAAGATTACAGCCTTGGCAACCCTATAAGGTAGTTCTGCTCTGTTCTATAAGGTTGCTATGAGTTGGAATTAAGTCAATGACAATGGGTTTAGTAAGAACCTAAAGTCCCTGGGTGATACAAATGTTGATGTGTTCAGCTGCTGACAGAAAGGTTTGAGTCCACCCACAGCACCCCAGAAGAAAGGCCTGGCAATCTACTTCCAAAAAATCAGTCACTTAAAACCCTATGGAGCATAGTCCTACCCTGACACACATGGTATCACTGTGAGTCAGTCAACTCTTTGACAACTGGTTAGTTAGTTAGTTACTAACACCCTAGCTCCCACAGATTTCCTTTGGAACAAAAGGGAATAATTTATTTTATAGCAAAATAATTTAGGTGATTTGTGTCTACCCAATGATAGGTGCCTTAAGTATCTTAGTGGTAGAATGAAGCCGTGAATTTAATGCCAGATTCTCCCCCTTTTCATTTTGTCATCATCTTCACTTTACATTTAACATTTGATGCCTCTCTAGTGGTACAGTGGTTATGGCATTTGGCAGCTAACCAGAAGGTCAGTGGTTCGAATCCACCAGCTACTCCATGGAAGAAAGATGAGGTAGTCTGTTTCCTAAAAGATTTACTGTTTTGGAAACCCAGTGGGGTTGCTATGAGTTGGAATCCACTCTATGGCAGTGAGTTTGGCAGGAAGGGTTGAAAGCACACACTGAAGAGTCAGATTGGACAGGATGGAACTCAAAGCTCTGCTCCTTACCAGCTGTGCAGCCTGGGTCAGAGTTCTTTATCTCCCTGTACCTCAATTTTCTTATCTGTGAAATAGAGATGTGATCATTCTTACTTTGTCAGATTTTTATTTTTATTAATTATTTAGCACTCAACAAAAGGTAGCTATGATTATTTGTCAATTGAGTAAAAGTGGGATCCCTGCTTCTGATAGTTCTTCCATCCAATTGCTGCACTGGAGAAAATCTTAAACCTGGTATGTTTACTAGGTGTGTGGTTTATCTTTTTTGCCTCTATAAAATGGGGATAATAGTAGTGCCTACACCATAGGGATCACATGAGTATAAAAAGAGGCAATTCCCTGTGTGTCCTTGGCACAGTAGTTAGCCCATTGCTGCCATCTGTAAATATTTATTGAAAAATAGAAGACATTCTGGTTTCATGGCTGAAATCTAAAAAAGCCAGGCAGTATTTTTCTTCTTCAAAAAGGAAGGGAAGAAATAGGAATATAAGGTTAAGTGTTGTGTATTTTAAAACATATTTAAGGTTGCATGGTATGTTCAGGAATGTTTGACAAATAGCAAAGACATGGGCCACTTGGTCCCTGGTGGCCTGATGGTGAAATTCCTAGCTCCTTTTCCTGGGTTTGGGAAGAGTAATCAAAGACACAATGGGTTTGTGTGCTAAGGAAACACTCCACAGCCTGCAACAAGATGCTTGACCATGCAAGGACTCTGCTGGGAGCCCACCTCAGGAAGCTCTAGTGTGACTCAGATCAGAGTGGCTGTCCTCTTGGCTCTGAACATTAAGGTGGAGCAAGAGTTCAAGGGTAGGGTCAGGAAGTAGCGGATGGAGCCAGCACGAGGTATTCCTGTGGACTTGAGAGATTTATACTCCTGCTGTCCATTGTTAAGAGGATAAAAAGGGGCTCCGCCTTTCTTAGAATCATGGTCAGTGTTTGTCAAACAGGAGTGCTTCAGTGAGCCATGGACCACACACCTTAAAAAACAAACTCCACTTTATTAAACCCATGTGTTTGTGAATAGACAAAACTAGATTCATATAACCACCCACATATTCTGTGAAATGAAACTGCTCCAAAGACCAAGCAGACAGCTTTCTATAATAATATGCCTTTGTATACTGCCTTGTGTTTTTTCGAAGAACTTGTCCATGCTTTGTTTTATAAGATCCCCTCTTGTGACACACGCAGGGAAAAGACATCATTCCCATTTACCAAATGAGAAAAGGGAAGCAAGCAGAATCCTTCTCTGGAAGTCATTTTGTCCCTGAAAGTCACCAGCAATGAGAGTTGCTACACACACAAACTTAAAATTCAACATTATAATTATGTGAATTCCAGATTTTTTTTTGGGGGGGGGGTCCTTTTTTTCATATGCACATGGAGAAGGGCAGGCCAAGGTTTTAAAATCACAGCCTTCTGTTCTGTTTTACACAGATTTGCCTTCTCAGGCAGGAGGGAGAGGAACATGTGACTGACTTTGGGGTGAAGGTTGACTTCTCTTAAAACATAGATGGTTGGAGCAGGGACCTGGTCAGTCAGAAACTTAGATGCTGACTTACATGATGCAATCCAAAAACATTCTGGCAAGAAGTCTTTCTGTTCTGAAGGTCATGGGTGTCTCCATCCCCTTTCAATTTGTTACTTATCTTCATAAGTGGTCAGTGAGCATTAGCTAAATAGGCAATGAAGGTAGACCCCTGGCTTAGTTGGCATTCTTTATGTTAGCTGTGAATCCAAGGAAGTGGAGTAACATTTACTTCATGTCCACTGGGTGCCTGGCTGTACTTTTACAAAGATTTTCTACTTTTATTATTTAATTTGATTGTAGTAATATAACAAAACATTTGACATTTTAACCATTTTAAAGTGTGTAGTTCAGTGACAGGAGCTCTGGTAGTGTAGTGCCTAAGGCACTTGACTGTTAACCAGAAGGCTGGTGGTTCAAACCCACCAGCCACTCCTCAGAAGGAAGAGGGGGCAATCTACTTCCATAGTGATACTGCCTTGGAAACCCAACGAGGGGTCATTATGAGTCAGGTCCAACTTGATGGCACATAATAACAACAACAGTTCAGTGACATTAACTGCATTTACCATGTGTAGCCATCACCACAACCCATTGCCAAATGATTTTTGTCATCCCAAACAGGCACCCTATATCCATTAAGCAATAACTGTGCATTTCCTCCTCTCCTCAGGCCCTGGTAATGACTAATAAACTTTAGTCTTTATGTATTTGCCTATTCCAGATATTTCATATAAATGGTTATTTTGGTTTTAATATTTGTCCCATTGTGACTGACTTATTTCACTTAGCATTATGTCTTCAAGGGAGCTCTGGTAGCATAATGCCTAAGGCATTTGACTGCTAACCAGAAGGCTGGCAGTTCAAACCCACCAGCCACTCCTCTGAAGGAAGATTGGGCAATCTACTTCTGTAGTGATACTGCTTTGGAAACCCAAGATGGAATCTCTATGAGTCAGATCGGACTCCATGGCAGGGAGTTTGGTTTGGTTTTGAATATCTTCAAAGTTTATCCATGTTGTAGCATGTATCAAGATTTCATCTTTA